GCGTAACCTAGCATGGTACACTTCAGTGTTTTATCCCACACAATACGAGCCCATTTAACTTTGGCCTCCGTTTAGACGTAACTGGTCGCGGTCAATTCAGTTTTGGGGGTCACCCTCTTGAGAAAATAACCGATCGTCCAGCCGCCCGTAGGCCGCAACACCACTTTCATTTTTTTCTTTATTTCGCTATATGCATACGAATGAATTTTTTCCGGGAGGAATACAAGAGCCAAAAGCAATACTAAAACGCTCTGCGCCTTATTCATAATTTCCATCTCGTTTTTGCCGATTGTCTTATTTTTGCGATAGTGTTTCAGAGCTTTTTCCTTTTAAGCTTGCCGTATAATCGCCTGAAATATTCATTTTATATTAAAAAAATTGAACAAATAGTTAGGCGTGCCTTTTGGTACTTACACGGAAAGAAATATTCAATAAAGATTATGTTCCTGTTCCGCAATCGGCGACTCAAAACAGTATTCAGTAAAAATTACAGAACAGTTCACGAACTTTTTACTGAATACAGTTTGAACTTGCAGATTACGGAACAAGCACGGAAATTATTGAATATTTCTCTCCATGTAAATACTCTGTATGTAATTGAATCCAATCGGTTTAAAGTTGATAAAAAAAACCAATAGTTTACCATTTATTCTGTAATTCTTATTGTTGTTATTTTGGACCATATATCGACCATATTCTTATTGCCCTGTTATTTTGGACCATATATTCGAGTTTGTACATAAAGATAAATGGGTGTTTGCGTGGATAACCAATGTCATAATGGATTTTCCTTGAATAGAATTACTTTTTTTTAATACTCTACACATAAAATTGAACGCATTTTCATTGATAACTCTTGATCAAATAAGTGGGATTAAAAAATAAAATTACATGTGATATCCTATCCGTGGAATGAGACATACCTAATCTAGATGGAATTTGTATACCACTATAAACGCAGTGGGTATTACTTGCAGCAATGCAAGAAACCCGGTGCCGTCCGAAGCATTATCATAGATAGTTTTTTGCGGGAGTTATTCATTATTGAATCACAAAAGTTACATGGTGTTTCCACATGTGTAGTGGTACTGATATGTGTATCCCTTAACCCTTGAACCCTTGAATGTTATCTTCTATTCGTCTTTGCCATCCCCTTGGTCCGGAAAGAGATTCGACGAGGTGTATTTCGCTTGTTTCCTCGTCTGAAGAATGAAATAAAGCCTCTAGATGAGCAATGTTCAAATGATCACCCATATTTTTCTTAGTAATTTAAATGAATTAACAATTGATCACACAAAATGTACATGAAGACTATACGAATATAGTTGCTTGTCCTTAAAACACAAATGTGATCTTACTGTAATATTAAAATAATGTTTCGAAAAAAAGATAGATAATGATGAATTTTAAATTGATAGTTGAATACCTTTGAAAATTATGAATTGAATGTTTATTTCCGTATCATTTCATGAACTATTGAAATTTTTGATGCAGTAAATGCATAGAGTGTCGAGTATCCCTTGTGGCGTGCATCCGTTTTTTATTTTTTTTTGGGAAAAGAGAGAGAGAGCCGCCCCCAACCCCCGATCCCATTAATTGTGGAGGAATAAAACTAATTAATACAATTTACACGAGTTATCCCGGGCCAGCCGGAGGTTACACCAAGTGCGGTTAAGATTTAGGGCTTTCTCTGTGTATCTAGGAATTAGGAGAAGTTTAAGGGATGTTAGGTAGAACTTAGGGCTGGGAAAACTTCAAGGGTTGTTATCTGCTAATTCGGAAATTAACATGTGATTAGGCATGTTGGAAAAAAGTAGAAGCAATAAACAGTTTTAGGAGAAGACTAGTTATGGGGAAATCATGTCGGTCCTTCAATTGCGATGTGAAGAGGGGTAATTAAAATTATCATCTGGTGTGGGTTAGAGGAACTCCGTTCGCGAAATATTCCCCGAACGTACAGTATGGCTGCGGGTGCCTGCACTCCTAAGGGAGGGATTCGTGAGGTATTTCAGGATACGTGTTAGAGTTGGAAAGTCGGTTGGGGGGGGGGGGGGGGCTTCACGACCAGTACCCCATTGAATTGCCGTCACCGTTGTGAGTGTTTAGTGTTCGTTTTGTTGGAAGGTACGTTTAAAGTCCACGGATCCTCGGGGATCCACCGGAGAGAGATTACCCGCTATAATAGGCGTTTGAGGATGAAAAATAAAAAAATAATTTCTTTCAAATTTGAATGAGGTGATCAGCGCGCTGAATGATGCCAGCTCCTCCACGATTAATCTACCACAACTAACGCTTTTGGCAGTTATTGCCAGCACGCGAGGGTCATAGGACGAGAGTTCCCCGAGACCAAAAGAGCAGCGGAGGAAACACTGGGAAGATCCCGGTCATCAGAAGCCCGCGGAAAG